TAGAACTAATATACATCTGGATACGTCCCCTTCTATTCATTTTGATGACAAGTATTTTCGGACGGAAGGAGTACCAATTAGTATAGTCCAAGTCAGCAAATCAGCCTAATTCTACTCTGGATGGCTCATCCGTATATTGAGTTTGTTCTCTTGGTTATTACGTATGTCTAACTGACTAAGCCTCTATTTATATGAGTTTCACTTTTTTAGCTTGAGTCTATGCGTATGTGGGCTAATCCATCCATAATGGGACTCTGTTCCTTGCTTTTCATTTCTTGGCACTCTCTGGCCAGCCTGAAATAAAATTCGTCTGAATAGTTCATCCCCTTATTGAGTTTGTGTTCTTGGTTATGTCTAAACGACTAAACCTCTTTATTAATATGAGTTTCCCTTTTTTGTTGCTTGAGTCAATACGTTGGTGGGCTGATCCATCCATAATTGGGCTCTGCTCCTTGCTGTTCATTTCATGGCAATCTCTGTCAGCCTGAAATAAAATTTGTGTGAAGCTCCTTTGATGTTGCTTACAGTGTCATGTGAAGGGGCATCTCCTTGTATATTACTGACTGCAACACGTGAACTCTGCCTATGTCTTTCTAATTATAGCCAGTCCCAAGTCCGCGAAAAGGAGTTGGGAAAAGGATGACGGTTGTGATAAGCTTGGTACGCCAGCTTAAAAAACCAACCATTCTTATGGATATCAAACACATGTACTCCCTCCATTCCTAAATATTTGTCTTTCTAGAGATTTCAACAAGTGACTACATACGGAGCAAAATGAGTGAATCTACACTCTAAAATATGTCTATATACATCTGTATGTGGTATCCATTTGAAATCTCTAAAAAGACAAATATTTAGGAACGAAGGAGTACATACCAGTAAGTCTATAACCATTCCAGCTGCCAGTCCCATCCTGGCATCATTACATCAACATTCTTAAGAACAGATCAAACCCACGCCATAAATTACTATGGGTTATGATGTTTCAGTAGCGAGGAAGAGGTCTTTAAACTAGCCGAAGTGCTAGCATCAGAGGATTTGGTACAATCGGTGTGCGACGGCATGTTGGACGATGCCGATGCAGACATCCCAATGGTGTGGGAGGACGATGAAGACATCCCACCGACATTAGCCCAGGTTAGTGGCGATGATGGTTCCAACATCAGTGTCGGCAGCTGTAGCAGGCTTGGTCGACCTTTGGCTGGAGCATGCCAATGGTCGTCCTCAGTGGCGGAGCTAGGTAGGATTCGGGAGGGGGGG